CCATTGGACTTCTCTAGCAGCACTGCTCTTTAGGATGGTCAAGGAGGCTGGTTTCTCTGTTCCTGTTTTGGGGACTTCTCTGCATTTTAATCAACAACATTTAGGTAGTATAACTCATTGTGGTTTTGCTAACTGGCTAAGTTTGTTACTTTGGATAGGTGATTGAATTCCCTGGCTTTCAGTGGCTTCCCATGTTGCTCAGGGATAATAACAATCAACACTCCCTCTTGGACTTCCCGGAAGCATTCAGTACCACTGTCTTCACCCTCTTCAGCCATGTTCTGTGGTCATTTTGTTGGATCTTAAGGTTCTCACTAGACCTCCCGTCTTTGCCTCAACCCAACGGAATCCTTTTTCAGAGATCCTATAGTATAGCAGTTTTCGAAGCTTATAGATTCATCTGGGTTCCCAAGACCACCTCCCGTGAAGTCACATTATTTTCATCATAATACTAAGACAACCATGTTGACATTTACACCAGTGGTAGCAAAGCAGTGGTGATTAAAACTGCTGGTACTTGAGCATGATTCAGTGCAGAGGCACCAAATATTCTTCACGATCATACACCCACAAGACAAAATAAACAAAGAAAAACCCACAAGGAAAAATCAAGAAAGGTCAGTTTTTAAAATGTCCTAGATGAAGCAGAAGAATTATTAATTTCACTCTTATCCTTGAGTGTGTTCCTTTTTAATATTCTAAATGACAAAATGGGAAGTACTTAGCTGCTTAGGCACTTAATCCGCTCATGGAACAACATATTTACTTGAAAGAAGAAATGGAAAAACTAGAGTTATGCAGAAAGGGATCTGGTAGACATTTTCCCCAAAATGAAATGAGGTGAATCTGTTGATTCAAGGAAAATCACTGACAGTGTTTGTTACCAGTGATAAATAATGAGTTAAGATTTGGAAAGCTTGTATCCACTCATGTGAATCTGTCAGCTTTCTAATATCTAAACATGTTTTAATAAAATAGGTGGTAATATTAATATCAGTTTTATACTGAATAATGAAACTGATTAGTTTGGGAAAACTGCATGTATACTATTACAAAGTCATGCAGTGGTTAAAAAAAATCCAGAGTGAAAAATCGCATAAATATATCCTAATCAAATGAAAACTGTCATTTGATCATGGCTTCATATTCAACATTGAGGTCCACTTTAAGAAACCACCACTTGTCGAGTTTTAATGAAGTATCAAGGAAGAAAATTCAATTACTTGAAAAGTTATTAACATATTCATCACTTTTTCAACACACATCAAGTTAGAAATTAAAAGAGATTTGCAAAAGTGTAAAACAATGCCAATCTTCGCACATTTCTTTTTTCTTTTTTTGGAAAACTGACTTCTCTTAAAACAGTTAGGCTGACATAATGGGTTTATTGTTGCTTTTAAACAAATTTATAAGAAATATTTCAAGATGTCTGTTTTAACTTCTAGTTCAATAAGCACTGACAGATTAAAAACCCATATTACAAGAGCTCTTTAGGATCTTCAATAATTTTTAAGAGCTTGGGAGGGCCGATATAGAACATTTATCCAACTTGAGGCTACAAAGAGAACTGATGATCAAGGAAATGAGGAATTTATTGGGTTTCTGGGGTTCCCATCTGAAGAAAACTGTCAGAAGACAACAACATTTGACTATATGCATGGGGGAAACAGTATCAAAATAATAGATCTGCCATAATAGCAGGTGGAGGACCCCAGCCGCCAGCTCTTTCTACCAGTGTTTTGCCTCAGGACACGGCTGGCAAGCCGATTATGCTGGATCAACCTCTAACCAATTTCATCTGGTATCCTGTTGCCTCCACAAATGAAATGTTTGCAATGTCACCAGCAGAAACAGAAATAGAGATGGCTAGCAAGTCCCCAGTTCTCGGCCAGCTGTCACCCACTGCAACTATAAGTTCCCAAAAGACTTGGACAAAGAAGACCTGCCAAGTAAATATCAGCTGTTGATTATTATCAATAGAGACGTGAAGCTTCATATGGTATGGTGAGAACCCTGGCCCCCAAGTTCTGGGTTGTACCCAGATTGGGTACAAGAGCTCCATCTGCTTTAAAAAAAAAAAAAAATCAAGCCCAAACCAAAGAATAAATGAGGTTTATGTCAATGGCCAATTCCATCTTGATGATGGCAGCTGTCCCCTCTGGAGGATCAGTGGAGAAAATAATGTGATCAGCTCCTGATGTCTGCCATGACCTCACAGCACAGTGAGCCCACTGCCACTTGCCTGAAGCCTAACCCTGGGCTACTTGATTTTTTTCTTCCTAATCAAGTTCCAGAGGTCAACAACTCTTTAAAAAAAAAAAAAAAAGACCCATCTCAGTTTATTAAAAATATTATGAGCTGAAAAGGAAAAGAACAACCCCCCTCCCAAATGTCAGCCTTAACAACACACCCTAGGCCTCGGAGGGGATGGGCAGGCAGAACCCCCAATCTGGGAACAGTGAAACCAACCAGCCACAAAGACGACCCAAGGATCTTGTCCTAAAACATATTGGAAGTGACATAGAAATATGAGTCTTAATCCTTCCCCTTCCTAAAATTCCCCACATTAATCAAACCATTTGACCATCTCAAAGCACTTTCATTGGAGAAAAACAGAGTATTTTGATCGCTGGAATTCCTGGTCAGGAAAAGTTAGGACTATGGTAAAGAATTCCTTAATGAGCCCCCTTTGAGTGGGAGCTGAAGCCCAGGTGTGGGAGTTGGAGGATCCCAGGGCTAAACTACTGTCCTGGCTAAGATGAGGAAAGGTGCGTGTCTTGCTCTTAATAGGAAAATGAATAGAACAGAACCTGAAAGTGGGGGGGGGGTAGGAGGAGGAAGAACCTCTCAAATCCTTTTAAGTGTTAACAAACAAAAAGTTTAAAGAATATTCTCTGGGTTTCTTGGACTGAATGGATCCCATGGTATAAAAGAGAAAGTGTGTAGGCAGACACTCTTCGGTCATATCCAAGGTGTCTTCCTACAGCCTCAGGACAGAGATCTCTCATAACCTGGTGCCAATTCTTAGCCATAAACTGACCCAAGGCTAAAGTGTGACCATGTCTATCCATCTCTTGCTCTCGTTGACATGACCATCTCTTCCTTTCAGTCCAGCATATAATTCTTAATAGAGTTGAAAGCACCTCTCTAGTTGTGACACTGAAAGCTCAGTCCTTGTCCCCCATGCCAATCCAGTAACCAGTAATGAGGACAAGGCTTTGAGATAAAGGAAAAAGGAGTTTTATTGTGTTTCTCCTTTGTTAGCAAAGCAAGGGAGTCCTGTCCCTCAAGCTGTGATTCTAACTGTCAGGGGGAACAGAGGACATTTAAAGAGGCATTTCACCTTTTTCGCCCGTCAGGTGTCATAATTCATTTGTAGCCTCGAGAGCTTAGATACACAGGGGCCAACTCCAAAGTCTGGACTCCTTCATTCCTGTGGTCTGTGAGCCCAAGGACATATAACTCTGCCTAGGATTGGAAGGTTAATCTATCTTCCCCCATGATTTGGGAGGAGGAAAGGGAGAAGAAAAAGGAAAAAAAAAATATGTCAGTTTTAAAATAAGTTGCAGCGGCAGAGCAACAAGGGTTACACTAAAGCAAGAAGTGGAACCTGTCACAGTCAGGGTCACGGAATTTGGCTCTGCCACTGACTGGCCATGTGCCCTTGGGTGCCTCCTCATCTCTTCAGACTTCCAATTTGTAAAATGCTGAGGTGAGGAAGAAAAGGTCAGTTCATCATCTCTTAGGCCAATTTCAATTAAAAGTCTGAATCTTTAGCATTAATGGTTCATGCATCTCCTTCCTGATTGTACTCACTCTTATGGCAAAACACCTTTACTGTAGAAACCAAATAATCAGGTGGGGTTTTTTTATTAGAAAAATATTTCCATAGTGTTAATTTCTCCAGTTAAAACAGTTATTTAATATGCACTGATAGTCTTACTTATAATAAGGATTTTGTTTTAAGACTCAAAGGGACCAGACAGAGGGCATTAATACACACACACACACACACACACACACACACACACACACGGTTTTTCCTTTTCTGCCTTTCCCCAGTCTCTGGGTGTTCTCTTATGTGTGTCTGTGTTTCCTCTCAATTGTTGGGTCATTAAAGGTCAGAACAATATGATCCTCATCTCTACAAGACTGTGCCTTGTACCAAGCAAGCATGTAATAGATATTTTTTCAGTTGAATTGAAATTGTGCATTGAATCAAAATTTTGATATTATTGCTTTGTATCAAGATAGACTTGGCTATGCTGCAGGAATAAAATTATTGCCAGTTCTCAGTGGTTTAATGCAAAAGAGGGATTTTTTTCTTGCCAAGGCAGAGTTGGCTACAGGTTGGAGTGGGCATAGGAAGAAAGCTATTTCTGCTCCACACAGACATTCAGGAACCCAAAATGAGGAGAATCCTATTTCCGCCAACTGTTCCTTGGACAAATCTTATTTTCCTCATCTGGAATGCATGACCTCTTCAGAGAAAGACACTGAAAAATTATTCAAGGACTTTTTCCTGCCTTTTGCACACATTTTACTAGGACTAATCACAGCACTACCTGGCTAGAAAGTTTTGGGGAGGGGTGGGAATTCCACATCTTTAATCAAGAAAAGTGCTCCAAAGATAAGAATGAATAACGTTCACCACATACTCGGTACCTCTAATATCTTAGAGAATGGACTCCTTAGAGAATCTATGACAGCTATGATACCGCTCCCCAGAAGAAAGCACACATTTAGCCCAATATTCAACATGTTTCATGTGCTTTGAACCCTATTCATTAGTCCTCCACAGACCCCTGGATCCAGGTTATGAATCCTTGAACTGAATCCACAGACATGAATAGCACCTGGCAATAGACTCAAAACATACATTGTGTGTGTTCTGACTTCAGTAATACCGGCCTGTTTCCTCAGTTACTTGTTCTTTTCAGATCTGGCATCTCACAAGACACATGAACCAATGGATCTTCCTCTGTGTTTGTTTTTATCAGGAAAAATTTGAGGGACTGTTCCGGACTTATGATGACTGTGTGACATTCCAGCTCTTCAAGAGTTTCAGACGTGTCCGAATAAACTTCAGCAATCCTAAATCTGCAGCCCGTGCCAGGATAGAGCTTCATGAAACCCAGTTCAGAGGGAAAAAATTAAAACTCTACTTTGCACAGGTAAGGTTATTCTTAATCAAAATTAATCCTTTTTGCCTTAGCAATTTTTTTTGCCTTTTAAAAATGTAAATGGAACTCTTTCTACTTTAAGATTGGTTTATAGTCTATAATTAGTTCACCGAGAAATAGATTCAGATCATGATTCCCAGACAGGCACAGCTGAGTGGATGAGAAGCAGGTACCAGAAGCTACCAGCTGGGACTCTAATCTGGGCAGCTCATATAACCTCTCAGGGGCTCAGTTCCCTCATTTGTAAACTGAGAATTATGATATATATACCCCCACTGTTGCCATGAAGATTAAATAAGTTTTTGTGTTTTCAATAGCTCGGTCAATGCACAGTAAATACCAGTTATTAGTTATAATAAGAATGATGTAATCATGACTCCTAACCTTTATGTCAGGGTTATAATTAAAACTTAGTTTTAGTGGACTATGTAACTTTTCTAATGATTCCTATTCATGGAAAAAGTTTACAAATATGTGAAAATTAATTTTGTATTTTAATTCATGCAAATATAAATTCTAGCTATTTCAAAATAGGATGAGTAGATCTTGGCAATGCTCATGAAGTCCACAGCAACAGAATATCACAGTTTTCCATCAATGTCCCCACTGCCTCTTTAGATAACCTTGATCCACCTCTTTAGTGACCTGCAAACATTTTTTTTTTCATTTGGACTCTGCAGAGAATGGCATAGTAAAAAGGACATAGACCTTGGTTACAGACCCATGTTCAAATCCCATATTTGCTACTAACTTGGGTTGCTTGAACAAACCTGTTTCATCATCTACTAAAAATCTCACTTGGGCTAAGTATGGTGGCACACACCTGTAATACCAGCAGCTCGGGAGGCAGAGGATCACGAGTTCAATGGAAAGGCACTAAGCAACTCGGTGAGACCCTGTCTCTAAATAAAATACAAAATAGGGCTAGGGATGTGGCTTAGTGGTTGAGTGCCCTTGAGTTCAATCCCTGGTACCCAAAAAACTTGGTTCCTTAAAATGATAAACAGTTACCATTTCACTCCTACATATTGAAAAGAGGAACTCAATACACATCCAAATACATGTACCTGCATGCTCACTGTGACTCCATTCACAAAAGACAAATGGTGGACACAACCCAAATGTCCATCAACAAATGAATGGATAGACGACATTGTAGCGTACCCATACAATGTCATATTATTCAGCCATATAAAGAAACAAAAACATACCACATTTTCTTTATCCATTCATCTGTTAAAGGACACCTAGGTTGGTTCCACAGTTTATCTATTGTGAGCTCATCTGCTCTAAATGCTGATGTGACTGTGTCACTGTAGTACGATTATTTTAAGTCCTTTGGGTAAAGACCAAGAAGTGGGATAGCTGAGTCAAAGGGTGGTTCCATTCCTCCAAGTTTTCAAAGAAAATGTGGTATATAGACACAATGGAATATCACTCAGCCTTAAAGAAAAATGAAATTATGGCATTTGCCTGTAAATTGATGGAGCTAGAGAATATCATGATATCATGCTAAGCAAAATAAGCCACTCCCCCAAATCCTAAGGCCAAATGTTTTCTCTCATATGTGGATGCTAATTCACAATAAGGGGGGATGGTAGGGAAGAATAGAGGTACTTTGGATTAGACAGGGAGGTAGAGGAGGGGTATGAAGGATAGTAGAATGAATCTGATATTATTACCTTATGTACATATGACTATACAACCTGTGTGATTCTACAACATGTACAACCAGAAGAATGAGAAATCATAATTTATGTATGATGTGTCAAAATACATTCCACTGTCATTTATAACTAATTAGAACAAATAAAAAAACAAAAATAATGGTTCATTCTACAATGTGATGAACCTGTAAACTTTAGACTAAGTGAAAGAAGCTAGACACAAAAGGTCAAATATTCTATGATTCTACTTATAGGAAATATTTTTCCAGAATAGGTAAATCCAGAGGCAGAAAGCAGCCACCAGGACCTGGTGAGAGGCTGGAATGACAATCACTATTTAATGGGTGCGGAGTTATGGGCAACAGAAAGGGTTTAAAACTGGACAGAGGTGGTAGTCGCAAAGACATTGACCATGTACTAAATGCCACTGAACTGTTAACTTTAAAATGGTTAATTTTACATCAATAAGAAAAAGGGCAGGAATGAAGGGAGATAATAGAGAATGGCTAGAAGCCGTGATGCACACCTGTCATCCCATTGCCTTGGCGGAAGGCTAAGGCAGGAGAATCACAAGTTCAAAGCCAGCCTCAGAACTTACCAAGACCCTAAGCAACTCAGTGAGACCCTGTCTCTAAATAACACATAAAATAGAGCTGGGGGTGTGGCTCAGTTTAATCCCCACCAAAAAAAAAAAAAAAAAAAAAAGCCAATTGGCTTGACAGCTTTCTTGTAAGGGTGCACCAGCAGCATCATCTGAGAACTTCAAAACTTAGGAGAAATGCAAATGCTCTGGCCCCCTCCCAGCCCTCCTGCATTAATGCCTTGGGTGAGGCCCAGCAGCCTGTTTTCCTAAGCCCTCCAGGTGACACGGATGCGAGTTAGAGGAGAGATCCTCTGTATTAAGGATTGATCAGATACCCGAGCACAGGGCGTGTGGTTAGTAGTTATTATTATAGTCTGCTTCATTCGTCACAGGCTGAAAATGAAGATCCACATCTTAGTTTACCAACATGGCCCATCTGAAGCCACAATGAGTAAAGTGTCTCCCTCCTGCTCTGTTTGAAAGGTCCAGACTCCAGAGACAGATGGAGACAAACTGCACTTGGCTCCGCCACAACCTGCCAAGCAGTTTCTCATCTCGCCCCCCTCGTCGCCTCCTGTGGGCTGGCAGCCCATCAGCGATGCCACACCGGTCCTCAACTACGACCTCCTCTATGCCGTGGCCAAACTAGGACCAGGTAAGCTCTGCAGCCCTTTTTAAAAATGAACATTCCTCAGCAACCTAGAAGCGCCAAACAAGACAAACAACCTCGAAATCCTGGGTTCGCGGTAACATCTGCACTTCTAAATGGATTTATTGCTCTGTGTGGCCAGCGGGAGGGATGATGAATGAGGACCGCAGCCTCCAACTTTGCACCTCTTTAAAAGCAATTCCAGAACCTGCACAAAAATGACTGCAGTCCTCTTGACCTCTGGGTTACAATGCAGATATCTTAAGATCTGGCAGCACTACCTTATTCTTCAGGGATTTCTACCATGAGGAAGTTTTCTCAGAACAGGCAAAATGGCTCCTATCAGCTGGCAGAAGGTAACCCAGTTTTATTGCTGCCGCAGGTCATAGTACATACCCAGGAACTCTGCTACAAGACAATGCGCCTGCCAAAGGGAAGCCTCCAACTCCCCAAGAACTGAGAGTAAACCTCTAACTTTAGAATAATCTTAGAGCTACACATGCCAACACTGGAACCAAGTGACCCTGAGTCATTCATTTTCATTGCAACATACTCTTCCAGTATACAAATATATTACCACACCTAGTGGTAATATATTTGTATACTGGAATTTGTTATTACCATCAAAGCTACCATTGACATTTTTGTATCTTTCTATATGCACATCTCCAAATATTTCTTTAGGTTTTATACCTAAGTATAATATCATCTTCAACTTCAGGAGACAATACCACCTTATACGTCATGTTATTTTTCCCATCTTATATACCAAAAGGGGAAATGGTAGAAAGTGGAGGGGCTGAAACCACTGGCAGCCCAGTTTTCAATGCACTGGAGCATATGAGGAATAACAGCCAGTGTGTCTGCTTCATCTATTGGGGGGTTCTCCAAAAATATAATCCCCATGCTCTGCCTCCACCCCAAGAGCTTTTACTTTAATTGATCCATAGTAAAGTTTAGCCATCGGTATTTTTTAAAGGCTCCCCAGCCGATTCTAACATCAGATGAGTTCAAGAACCATTGGTAGCCAATGCCAAATTTCAAGAATACTACTTAAATTCTCACTAGTTATTTCTGGGTATGGTCGGCAAAACATTTGGCCCAAGAATCAACCACCCAGGAAATCTGCATTTTTTTTTTTTTAATAATGGCACATAGTGCTTTTTGTATACATAAAGTTTCCAATGCTGGAAATTGGGGTGGCCAAGACTCCTGGTTTGCTGAGGCTTAGAGGGGACTCTGGGGTGTGGGATTTCAGTGCCCAAACTAGGAAATTCCCAGGAAAACTAAGTGGAACTGGTTACCCTGCTGACTACTCAGATGAGGCCATGGTATTCATAAACAAACCCTAAGAAGCAAGCTCCTTGGCGGGGAGTGGAGCACATGGGGAATAACAGCCAGTATGTCCGCTTCATCTACTGGTGCTACACCCTTCTCACTTGAGTTCTCTGAAGCTTAGATTTGTCCCCTGAGGGGCAGGGAGTTCTTTGTCATCACCAGCAAGTCACTGAGCTCCTGGGGCCTATGAAAGGGCCGTCATATTCACCCTTGAAGAGCCACTGGGAGATGTCCAAGATGGGCTGGAGAGGGAAGGAATAGGGAGATATTGTGGAATGTGATCTCCTTGAATGTCTAGTTCACAGACAGGAAGCGCCTGCTTCCTCAGCTCTCCTCCCAGGCGGGCCATGTTTGGGATGTGCTTTATTGGTGGTGAAGCCATTTCCCGCAGCAATTCAGGACATTTCAGAAGCAGACAAGCTTGCCAAATCCTGAGACCAGTTAGTGCCACAGTCATTGAAACTGCCACTCTGACACCTGTGCCCAGGTATTAACAGGAATACCTCCGAACACCCTGTAGAGTTGTTTTGAAGGTCGGCAAATAGCATTCCTCATAGAATCACTAAGATCTTGGCCAGAGGACCCAGGAGTCACTGGCTGACTTAGCATTTTACAGGGCAGGAAACTGAGGCCCGGGGCAGAGAGAGAACTTGCCCACAACAGAGCTGCTTCCAAGGCTGTGTCCTTCCCTCTTCTAAAGGAGGCCCCAGTGGTGTCAGGTGGCTTTCGTGTCCTGTGGTCTCTGGTCCACTCACTTAGAGCCAGTAGAAGTCAAGCCATCATCATCTTTTTTAAAACTCAAGAATATGATAAAATAGTCATTCGTAGTCTGTGTTCACAGAGCTTGGTGCAGACAGGAGATCAGGACAAGTGCTAGACACCTTCACTGACTGATGGCGCTCAGTGCAGGGTATGGAAGGCACCACCAGGGACAAGTGCAACCTGAGACCGTTGGAGTGGGAAGTAGCACCCACAAGAGATGCTCACACAGAGCCTGGCACAGAGGAAGGGAATGGTCTTAGAATAAAAAGGGAGAAGTTCTTTTAGAATTGTGAATAAGTGATTGACAAAGTTAAAATGCTTATCTTTTAGCTTATGACCTTCACCTTCCTTTATCACAACCAGTGAACCACCTACCATTTTGGAAGTGCCCTGCATGTGGTAAGGACAGAGCGAGGGACTCTTATTACCCCCATGTTACAGGTCAGGAAACGGCGAGAGAGAGAGAATGAGCTTTTCCAAGGTGACATGACTGGCTAATTTTCAATCCTGGCTCTTCTGATTCCCAAGGGTGATCTTCACCACCGGCCAGTTGGCTTTCTTTGAAGGACACTGGCTGCCTTGGCTGACCTTAGGCCTGTTCTGCTTTTACACTGGCAAAACATTTATGGTAACCCTGAGGCGACAGCTCTCTCTCCCACCACTGCCAGAAAGCCTAGCCCAGTATCTGCTAAGAATGATGTGCATCATTGTGTGCAAAAATCAAAGGTCTCTCTATATTTTCAAGCATGACTTATATTGTTGTCCATGAAACAGCCACCACTTGGATGTATTTTCCTGAAGGCTTTCTCTCCATTCCTTGTCAGCGATTTGAAGCTGTTTCTCTCCACTTCCTCACCCCACAGAAAGAAATGATTTGTATTCAATAACTGAGTTGAAAATATCACAGAAGTTATATTGGAGATTGCTAAGGTCCTATTAACAGAACACCGGAGACTGAGTAATTTATAAAGGAAAAAGGTTTTTTTTGAGCTCACAGTCCTGAAGGCTGGAAGTCCAAGAGCATGGCACTAGTGTCTGCTCAGCAAGGGTGGCAGAGAGAACATGAGGGGTGCACTTGCTTGATAACAACCAGCTCTTGTGGGGACAAATCCAGGCCTCAGAGAACTCAAGCGAGAAGGGTGTACCTCCATCTCTCCCTAGCTCCTCTCCATGGCCCCAGCACCTCCCAACACTGCCTCACTGAGGAATTAAGTGTTCCAGCCCATGAACTTCTAGGGGACAAACACCAACTGCAGCAGGCCCTGCTTTAGCTGCACCAAGGAAGGAACAGGCTATACCCTGGATCTTCCATACCCACATCTCTGCCCTCTCCCCCCAGCAAGGTGCCAAGGCAAGGAGCCCCTGTGCCCCTGGTCTGTGCACAAGGTCTCACTTCTCCTGGGGTAGTTTCCTACTGTTCAACTTGCTGCCTTTCCTACATTTTGAGGGGAGAATTCATGTTTTATTCATTTTGGTCTTCCTAGCACCTGAGAGCACCTGGTACATGGTAGGTGCTCAATAAGTACTCAATGAATGAACCAAGGGACACATGAACTGAGGAGCCGCTGGCCTGCTTGGGGATGGTGTCTTCTCTAGCACGGTGGTGCTCTCTTAGGGATTTAGCCAGACTGAGTCAGGCAGCACTGAGCTAATGTTTTCAATAATGAAATGACTTCCAGCATTTCCATTTAAAAAAAAAAAGGTTTCATAAAATTCATTTTTAACCCTTTGGCAGAATCATTTCAGTAACAATGATAACTCGTTTCATTTTAAGGGATAACTATCTCGGCTCCAGAAGCTCAGAAACAAATTAGAATAAGAGCAAGAGGAAAGCCACTCAGATGATCAAAGGAATGGAGCTGTACCCGGGAGGATGGCTTAGTGGCGGAGTGACTGGGAAGGGACACAGAAATCTAAAGAGGCTGGGAAAAGGCAGTCGAAGGTTTTCCTGGCCCTTTGAATGCTTTGCACAGGGTCATTTAAAAAGAAAAATCTCAAAACATGAGAGAACACTTTAAGACTTCCACATCAGCACTTCAGATTATTTTGTTTGCTTTCCATTTTAAAAATTAATCCATATACTTGTTGCTTAGATATTTTGTTAATTATCATTTCTTTGCTTGAGTTCTGTGCAATATTCATACAGGACAGTGACAAAACTCATGAGTGAATACTTCATTTAGAAGCATTAACATTAATGCTCAGTAAATTCTCTGGGGGCGGGGGTGGGTGGGGAGCAGGGATCTAGGGCAAGAAGGGCTCAGGGTCACCGCAGTGCACCCACTGGCTGGCGGGGGCTTCCCAGGGAGGCATGGACACAGATCCTGGCTCAGATTAGCCACAGCTAAGTCAGCATCCCTGTCCTTTTAAAAAGGGACACTAGTGATCCTCTTTCAGAGAGGGCCAAGTCAGGTCAAAAATTTCTAGAAAGATCCAGGCAGAGAACAAAAGAGCCCCCACAAAACCTGACCCTGTAGTTCATGAGGAAATCCTTTGAACTCATTAACAAGACGTTACAACTGGAGACAAGGGCCACAGAACATTGAGAAATTTCGGTTCTGTGTCTCACAGCGAGAGCAAGTTTGTATTCTAAAAAATTATGAGACGCACAGTATCAAACACTCTTAACCATTGTCTCCATGACTGTATATTCTTTGACCCAAGAAGTAAAATAAATAAAAACAATGACTTAACATGTAGTGCTTACTATGTGTTAGGCACTGTTCTAAATACCTTACTATACCATCTCACTTAACAGTCGCACACAGTCACAAGCATTGTCAATATCATACAGTTGGAAAATGTGAGGCACAGAGTGGTTAAATAAATTGTCAAGGTGCACAGCTGGTCAGTCAAAATGTGTTCTTCCGCCACTTTTGGAAAGAAGCAAAAAAGTACTCTGCTTTTTCAAACTTTCAACCTCCCAGGGCGGAAAGGTCTCTTGAATAGTAAAATTAATTTCTCCAGAAAAAAATTAAAAATTGTTGGGAGAGTTTACGAACACAAAACAATTTAAACATTTTTTTTTCCTTCCATATCTTGTTTGATTTTTGTCCTCCCACCAAACCAGCCCAGTGCCTCAGATTTCGGGGCACAGCCCTTGCTTTCCTTTAATGTCCAAAGGGACACACAGATCAGAATTTGCTACCTTCACTTCTGTTTAAGGGGAAGTTTTATCCTATCAAAATAGGGGCTTTATGTTTCTATTCAACCTGGTGACTTAGGTGATGAGATTCTACAAACAGAAAATCAGACAAACGAAGATGGTCTCTGACCTTGACGTGGAAAAAGAATTGAAAATTTTTATTTGTTTGATAATATCTATTGTCATAATACCCTAATTTCAGAAACAGTACAATGCTGTTTTTCTTTAAGTGTTAAAAAAAATCCATACCAGCTAGCAAAAAAAAATGGCAAAATCAAGATGCATGCCCCACCAAACAGGTGGCAAGTCAGGGGGCCCCTGGTATGAAATGCCAGCCTTGTTCTGTTGTCTGGATGGCTCTGGAAGGTCATGTTCATTGTCACTGAAAATGCCTGCAGGCAGCGATATGAAAAGTCATTGTCTACTCTTTTTTTTCCCCTGCTACTATTTTTAGCTCTTGTTAGGGAGATCAATTTTAGTTAACTACAGAGGAAGGTTTAAAATGGCGCTCGAGTTTCAAGTTGCCTACGTCTGCTATATTTAGATTTTTTTCCCCCTAAATTCTGCTCTATTGAGACATGCCATAGTAAAGCAATTTTGGTGTTTCTGCTTGGTACACATTGTTTCCCGAAATGGAAAATATACTTCCTTAATTAACGTAACTTACAAGGAAGAAACCTTTGCTATTCTAGGCTCTGACTCAGATGTAGAGAAAACTCAGTTTTTAAAATATAGATGAGCACCTATATTTGGGGCACGTGTAGGATGAAATATTATATAAGGACTCCGTGCGTTCAACAATTTTGCTATATTCTGATCACCAGACATGAAAGGCACAGAAAGAGTTAGCACCCACCTTGGCAATTAGTACCCCCTCCCCACATCATTCTCCACACAAGGACTCAGGCTTGTGATCCTGGAACACATTTCCAAGTTTCCATTTCCTTTCCAAGAATTTTCTCTGGGAGAATTTTTTTTTAATAGAAAATTTTAAAGGGGCTTTTCTTCTGCTCACATAATTCTATAATTTTTTATCTTTAATCACTACCAACTAGCAACATGAAGCTCTGCCTTTACTTATTTCACAGGGGAAAATGTACAGATGGTAGATAATCTGAAAAGATACATAGGCCAAAAAGATGAATAATAAATTTTACCACCCCCAAATAAGTACTTTAAAATAGGATTCTTTGGGTTTTTCTCCTTCACTCTAGGTGTATGTGTGTTCTTAGAGCTACTGCCTTAGCCACACCTCTGATCCTAAGAAGGAAAAATAAAGCCACTCATGGCGGTGCACGCCTATAATCCCAGTGGCTTGGGAGGCTGAGGCAGGAGGATCAGGAGTTCAAAGCCAGCTTGAACAACTCAGTGAGGCCCTAAGCAATTCAGCAAGACCCCATCTCTAAATAAAATACTAAAAAGGGCTGGGGATGTGACTCAGTGGTTAAGTGTCCCCGAGTTCAATCCCTAGTACCAAGACAAAAAATAGGGTCCATCTCTAGAGGGGAAAACTTCCAGTCTCCAGGGAGTGCCCAAGCAGCTCCTGTGGTCTCTGCTCTGCTGCTCTCTTCTTGCCTGGGTGGAAAAGCCCCTTCCTCCAAGATTCAGAGAGGTTCTTTGCTCAGCTCTCTCTCTCTGGCCCATTACCTTCCTTGAAAGTTTCTAGTTTTCATCTCAGTTACTAATTCAGATCCTCAATCACAGCGCCCCATGAAGAACTTTGGGTTCTACATGTCTCAGGAGGGAATAAAGATAAGTGGTCACCCTAAACCTGTATGAAGAAGAAATCTCCAGAAGCAAATTTCCTTTTATGAAATAGACCCCCTCCCCGACTTATGACAGAAGTAAAGTGTTCACTCTCTCCCTCCATCTTTTAACATCTAGCTAAATCCTTCTCATCTCCTACTTTGATACAGGTCAGGACTGGTGAGGAGCAAGGAAGGAGAATCCCCATCATACATGTTGATAATATTTTTTTTCCTGCAGTGAACCCATATGATCCTTACTGAGGGGGGAAGCCATGCCATGCCGTATCATGGCCACCTCACACCTGACCCCAGGAGGCAACACATTAGCTACACTGTGGCATCTAGGAGACCCAATTGGAGCCTGCTGCCCATCTCCAAGGCTTACCACAATGAAACAGGAAATATGCACTCACAGAAATACAAAGAATCAGAGAGCCCAAGTTTACAGAAGACCAAACTCTGGAATATTTGTTTTAATCCTGAATCCTTTTCACTCCAAGAAAAGAAATGCTTTCTCCATAATAATCTTGTAAATAGACAGCTAACAAATACCTGTGATTTTTAGTTTCCAATAAGCCCCTTTGCTCTTGAACATCACCTCTTCTATTTCATAGCTATGGATGATGACCCAGCATGAAGAGAGGATTTTTCTCTTTAGGATGATGATTAAAACTCAGGATGTGTATTTGATTCTAGGCTCCATCTTTTATGGGTTGTGTGAACTTCAAGTTTTTTAGCCTCTCTGTCCTCAGTTTTCCAAACAGAAAATCAGGGTGTGTATCAAAAGAGACAAGCCATATAAATATGTATGTCCAGCCCTGAGTATAGTAAATGTTCAATCTGTGTCACCATTTATTATCAGTTGATTGTCAAACCACATCTTAGGCTCTGAGCTCAGTGTATGGCAATATGAATGCCGTGATGTTTGGAGCTGATTGTCCTATGCAAGGCAGTACATTTAGCATTCTGGGTCTCACCTGCTAAGTGCCAGTTTTCACCCTGACCCAGTCATTAAATCATGGTGATGGCAACAATATCCACTGATAGACCAGCACTTGTTTAAAAAGGACGCTATAATCACACCAGTTGAAAAGTGACTAAGAGGTGTTGAGACAAGAGGCAAGGAGAGTCCAGTAAAGTGGAGGCACCAGTATGTGCACAGAAAGAGGGGAGAGGGCAGGATAAACAGGAGTAGCACCTGCTCACAACTTTGTACTTGATCCCCATATGTGCGTGCACATGCATCTACACACACACACATTTTTCCTTCCCCTAGGAAAACTAGAAGAAAGCAAGATTGCCAAGAGGTGGCTTTAAAATACCATTAAAATATTTGGTCTTTGTCCTTCATTCCTAACACAAAGCTCCTAAAATTCATGATTTCCTGAGAGATAGGAGTATCTTTTATTCTAATAATGTGACTCTTGGCAGGATGGGGGCTGGTCACTAGAAAGACAGCCCCTTGAATCCAAACCTAGTACTTTCAGCCCCATTTCCCTACCCCTGGGGAATAGAGGACAGGAGAAAAGCTAGAGGTCAAGTTAATCAATAGCTGATGATACCTGAATGTGGTGTTCTGAGAGCTTCTGGGTTCATGAATGCATCCGCATGCCAAGAAGGAGGCACACCCAGCTCCCCAGGATAGAAGTGCTCCTTCCAGACTACCCTATGTACCTCTTCATCTGGCTCTTCACTTTTGTATCCTTTATAAAACCCTTTATAATAAACTGGTAATCATTTTTAAAAATACACCTTTAAATAGCATATCTGGGGGTTGCAGGGGTGCGGCTTGGAAAACATCCTATTTTTTTTGGTTTAACTCTGTCCTTCTGTTGAAGAACACATTGCCCAGCAGGAGTGAGTGAGGTTGGAAGTGACGGTTCAAATGCTGGTGGGTGCCCCAGATAGAGAGAGGCAGGGTGCACCCCCCAAGTCTTGTCTCACTTCCTGGGGGGGATCCCTACCCAGCACCTGACAGTACGGGACCCCTCCACCTGCCCAGTTGACAGGGAGCAGCAAACCAGGACTTGCAGCCTCGTGGGGCTTCCTTTCCTGCTGAATTCAAGTCATAAGCTTAACTCTTGAAAGAAAACCTACATATGAACACCTTTCAAGCACATCTAAACCATCCTGCACTCCTCACGGAACTCAGCTTTCACCAACATTGGGCATGCGCAGAAAAGCCAGCATGCACAAGTCCACTGTCACCATTCCACCCGCAGGGGCTCCCTAGTCCCTCTTGCAGAGTAGGCAGGTCCTGTGCCCTTTAAGCCAAGCCACTCTGTTTTCCTGTAGTGATGTTAATATTGGAATTTGTATTCTCAACCAACTATAAAGGACTTAATCCAAATTGAAGCTTAGCACACAACCCTGACAGGGTTCTGTATTGGAGTTCTATTGGATATGTCCTTAGGACTTGCTTTGATAAGCCACTATCTTGTTTTAAAATTCAGGGTAGACTGATTATTGACACTGATGTTTGAACCCTATTTGGTTCAGAAGACAGATGAGTTGTTGCTGCTGCTATTAACTTGTCATCCAAAACCAAGCCGGCAATTAAGGTTAAGAAATGGACATCCTGCACCACACAGGTGCACTCCCACCAGCATGGAGCTAGAAAGCATCAGGCTGCCCAGCACTGGGCAGGGACTCTCCTGCCAGGCTCAGCACAGAGCACAGAGCAGAGCACAGGCTTCTCAGAGGAAAAGAGCGCTCAAAGTGAAAGGTGGGAGAGAGTGAGTCGAGCATTTCCAGTTCTTTTCCCCAAAATCACCTTAGTATTGCTCCTCTTCCACTGGGGAGGAATAGAAGAGGGGCCATAGAGATACAGAGTAAGAGGTCTAAGATGTCCTCCACATGAAAGAGCCACTGGACCTAGTCAAGTATCCACTAGGACACAGGGCCCCAGCAGGGGAAAAGGGAAGACACTACAGGCGATAACTTCAACTATAGTAGCTCCCCTAGCTCTTGAACAGAATTTGTGTGACCCAGGCTCACTTTTACATAACAAACTACCCCCAAAATTTTAAGGCCTAAAAGAGCAACCATCATTTATTATGCCCACAAATCTACTTGGTCAAGGCTCAGTAATGACTCATCTCTGTGCCTCGCAGTGCTGTTGGGACAGCATACCTGGAGACTAGCAAATCAGCTTGAGGAGTGTTCATTCTGATGGCTGGCTGTGGCTTGGGCCCCGCTTCCTCTCCACAGGCTGATTTGGCTTCCTTACAACATGGAGGTGGGGTTTCAAGAGTGGGCATCCTGAAAGAGTATGGCAGAAGTGTCTGGCATTTTTATAACCCAGAAGTCATATTGGTTCCTTCTGCCATATTCTATCAAGGCCGTCATAAAAGCCTGCCCAAGTTTTCAAAGAGGGAATGGAGAGAGCACTCCTGGATGGAGAAGGGACAAGGTCCTAGGAGAGTATATAGGAGGGGAGATATTATATCATCTTTGGAAAGCATGATATGCTACAACATGTAACCTTCCTATTGAGAATTCAACTTCCTTATGTGAGATGATGAGATTAAACAGGAGGGAAACGGGATATTTTCCCAAGTCCACAGTTTCCATAGGAGATTATAGAAGATAGGGTCTTGCTACGTTGCTTAGGGCCTCACTAATGTGCTGAGGCTGGTCTCAAACTTGCAATCCTTCTGCCTCAGCCTCCAAGTCACTGTGATTATAGGCATGCACTACTGCACCCAGCTATAATTTATAGGAGATTCATTGTCAAAGAGACCTTGCCAGAATAACTAGCAAAGTTCAAAACAAAATGAGACAAAGTTCAGGAGAAATAAATAGTCTATCTTTAGCTAGAGAACAATATACACTGAAAATATGTTGCCATGAAAATGTGCTAGAAGTAAAAGTTAAAACGAGGCTCCTTTCTGGTAGAGTTTCCTGCAGAATATGAAACAGAATAATGAGAGGCAGAACCAGAGGGGATGGTTAATGTGGCTGGCGAAATCAAGTCAGTCTGAATTCTGGCTCTGCAGGGAGCTCAGTTTCCTTAGCATAATGGACATGCTGAAACCCACACCACAGAGCTAATGTCATCATTAGACACCTGTTTAGGGGAAGCACTTAGAGACTTAGACCTGTGCCTGGCATTTAGGAAGTATTCCCTAAACAGCTGTGTTCAAGGAACATGCGAAGTTTCTGCAACACCTACTATGGCCCAGCACCAACAGTCCTAATAAATAGGGTAGATACCTGCATTAGTTTTCAGCTTAGTTGAAATGCTAAAAATTTACACAAGATAAGCCACAGGAGGAAAATTCATGCATGAGTACATACTGGACATTATACAATAACTGTGTCCGATGTCCTTCATAAATCTATCATTTATTGATCATTAGTGTGTACCCTGAGCTGCAGCAATTCCAAAAGCAGCTTTGGTGATTTGGAATATAAAACATCACTAGATGAAATAACTAATAAATAATACAAAAAGGAATATCATTAAGCATTATAATTAAGTGGCTCGGACCAACTTGGGGAAAGAAAATCAGAAGTTTTCTTAGAACAGGAACTTATGGCTTTCCATTTCATGGAACAGAGGTATGTAAACGGGTAGGAAAAGAGGAAAATGGAGAGAAATTTCTCAAGGACAAGTCAGAGAAGGGGACACAGGAACTGGGGGGAAAGGAGAGATCCATTTGGGGAATTAGATTACAGGGTACCTGGCTATTCACTTGAACCTTGGGATTCAACATATCATTCACCTCTTCCTGTACTTCACAGCAGATTCCTTGTGTGATTGGTTCATCATATTGGAAACGAAATTCTTTGCGGGGGCGGGGGGCGGGGGGCAGCACTGATCAAACTAATATCACCCTGAATAATTACACTGTGCATCATGGGAGGACTTGGTAAACTAGTTGATCCATATTTCTTTATTTCCTAGTCTCCCGGTGATGTGAGCATTGTCATTGCTTTGATGAGGGAAACTGAGAAAGCTATATGTTTTTTTGCACCTCAGAGTCCCACTACCGGTATGTGGAAGGTAGTGTCTCCAAATTTAGTTTTAGGATGTTGATTCCATGGGGAGGAAAGCAACAGGGAGCCCCCTGGTGAGTGGCAGGAGGCAAGTCCTGGGCAGGGTCATCACAAGGTGGGTAACTGGGGGAGTGCATGCAGAATGCTTCAAAGCAGCACTCAGAGACTTAGTGAGGAAGTGGATGAGGAGAAAGAAAATTCAATAACTGACTCCAAGGATCTGCACCTAAAAGGCTGGAAAAAAGACAGCCTCCATGAGAAATGTGAGAGCCTGGAAGGAAATGTGTGTCCATGAGGCAAATGAACAATTCTACTTTAGATATGTGAATTAGGAAAGGAAAAGGGAACTTACATGGAGATGTCAGGACATTGGGGTGCAGATAGGAAGGCAGCCTGGAATAAGCTCCTCCTAGAGGGAGGACTGAGGAAGAGTCTTCCCAGACCAGCAGCAAATGCTAAGGGATAAAGCTCGTTGCACCTGTTGGACTTTGCTGTGTTTTGGAAGCCTCGAGCGCAGGGGTCCTACCTATTTCCTAGTGGACCACATGATCTTCTTTCCATCACAAAAGTTTCCTAAGAATCTGAACAATCGGTCTCAACCCTGCTTTAGTACACACACACAGGGCTCTGTATCACCCCCCTACTCTAACACACCTGAATTATATTGATTTGCACAAACTGCATCAGCACACTGATGATGTTAGCATCCAAGAAGGAGCCCACCCATGGCCCATGAGCCAAAGGTCACAGTGTGATGGAGGCTTCCTGTGGCACTTGGACTGGCGGCCTCATCACACTTCCCTGTGACAGAACTACAGAGACTTCACCTCCTCCTCCTGAGAACAGGAAGCAGCCTGTGGGCACCCACGTTTCCTCCTCCAGATGTGTAGGAATTGGAATGTTGTCACCAACCTGCCCCACCCACTCAAAAAAAAAAAAAAAAAGGAAACAGAATTTGGGCATGTGTTTTGAACCAGGGCCAAGCCTCAGGAAGTTCCAAATACCTCCATGAGAGTTTAACTTTTGGCCAGGTGCTAAAGGATTTTGTTTGGGTATTTATTTCATGGGGGTAGATAAAAAATGCATTGATCAGGGTTTTCTTTTTTTGACAGGTTCTGGCATCCTTTCTCTGCACAGGGTAAAGGATAGTTTGAATACAGACAGAGGAGTGAGCACAGGACAGATGAATCCTCTCATCCTTTAAAAAGAAATGCTGATCCAGGGCCCCATTCTCCCTGCACTGGGATAGGACCTGTCCCCAGCCTGGGTGGATAAGGACTCCTTGTCCCCAGCTAAGCTTAGTTGGTCCCTTTGCATGGTGACAGCGTTGACGTCAGTCCTCACGGTAGAGGAATTAGTTGAAGCCCAAAGGGAAAAAAAAAAAAGGCCAAAAAAAGAAAAATTCAATCCAGCAAGGCTAAAGCCATTTCTTTTTAGTTTGCAGGCTCTCAGCAGCTGTTAAGCTTTGCTGGATTTTGATAGTAAGAAATTTTCTAAAAATAGAATAATGAAATGTCGGAGTTAATGGGATCGCCTGGTAAAATAGCTCCACTAGTAGCCAATCTGACTATAGCCACCTGATGTGAAAGTTGCCTCGCACCCCCCCACACACACATAAAGAGATGCCCCCTTGCTGGCCTCTTCCATCCCCCACAGCTACTCAGAGAAGACAGCCAGCTCCTCCAATGTGATAATCACACTGCAACAATGGGTGTCTTTAAGGAATGCTCTTTATCCAAGCCAGGGCCCACAAAAGGTATAATCAAAAGTCAACTTGGTTGTGTGTATTTTACTGCAATTGAGGTACCAGGAGTGAGAAGACTAATATTTGCCAACAGACGAGGAAAGGGACAGGGTGTCTGGTCAGTCCTCTGGCCTGGGCCCTGCCATCACCACCACCTCAACCCCAGGGCCAGAAACTTCCACACTCAATCTGCCACGGCAGAGTCCTTTCTGTGGCCTCCCCCTCCGAGGATGGCAGAATGCCATCCCCCTGCACCTCTGCAAGCCCTGAGCATGACTCCCACAGCTGCCGTTTCCTCTAAGGGGCTTCTTCAAATGAGAGAAGGAAACCCTACCTGCTAAAACAAGAATTATCATCTTATTCCAGGACTTAGAAATCACATCTTCCTCTTTTATCTGCGAGTGTCTTTCATTCAGAATTGCAAAGAGTGTGTGAAAAAAAAAAAAAGAAAGAAAGGAAATTTTTTTTTTAGGTAGTCTGGATGTTGTTGGACTTTGAGCAACTTGAGAATGCCAAAGATGAGCAAGTGCTGGTGGCCAGGAGGCCTGGGGAACTGACCTGGAGTCCCTAGCCTCTTTTCCTTTGTGTGCCCTTCTTTCCCCTATCCATTCTCTGAACTATTACCATTTTCCAATTGAAAACAAATGATGCAGAGTGGAGGAAGTAAGGGGGCACATTAGTGTGTGCCAGTACCCTCATGGGACCACAGTCCCTTGCTATCCCACAAAGCCATGAAACTCTGGTCACTCAGACACCGAAACAACCAGAAGCAGCAGGGAGTGCTAAATACAAATGAAGATTCCACTAAATCAGAATTTGCAAGATTGCATCCCATCCTGGCAATCTGTTTTTAACAAGCACCTTGAGTAAATTATCAGATGGTTGAGAACCACTGCTTCAAGATGTCACCAACCAGGTCTGCCCACCCTCAGCCCAGAGCCTCTCCCACCACACCTGTCACGTAAAGCTAGTTTCATGCAGGTTCCTCTCTGTAGCAATACCTAATGTTTCTTTTATCCTGGAACTTTGATAATGGAGTTCTTTTAAGATGGGACAAAATACTCTAGGGAGGAGGGGACCCACACTATTAAATGAACTTTCCATGGCATCCAGCGGTGTTCCATGCCTACACGTCTGCACAGTACAGTAACTGCCAAGTGGACTGCAGCCTGATTAGGTTAGCGCTCACTCTCCATTCCTGCTTTCCAAGTAGCCCGAGTGATTGACATGCACCTGGTTCTACCACAGGCATCCTACTTCTGTCACTGTCCTCACCTGCATCCAAACTAGTCCACCTCAGCTCCTACATGTCAGAGACTTAGCGCTCATTGATGAAATTTTCCCTGCCTACAGTTTCACCACGTTTAGACTGCAAGCCACAGATCTTCATAAGCCATAGTCCAGTGGCTCTGCCTAATTCTATTCTTTTTTGCCACTACCAGTGTCCAGAGAAATGCTGGAGTTGTGAAACATTTACTGTCCCTCACCCAGAAAAGCCTTCTCTCAGCACAGCAGGATGTTGGGGGCGGAGAGTGTCCAATAAAGACTTCTTTGACTTTGAACAGAAAGAGAACCCTCTTAGCAGGGTATGGCTGTGTTAGTTTGCTAGGGCTGCCATAACAAAGTACCACGAACTGAGTGACTTTCACAACAAAAATTAGTTGACTCAGTTTTGGAGGTTCACAGTTCAAGATCAAGATGCACATGGGGCCATGCTCTCTCTGAAGGTGCTATACGAGATCTGTCCAGCACCCTCTCCCACTCCTGGTGGTTCCTTGGCAATGACAGCATAACTCCATTCTTCAAATGGCATTCTCCCAGGGGGTGTGAGTATCCAACTTCCCCTTCCTATAAGGTACCAGACTTGTTGTGTCAGGGCCCATTCTAATAACCTCTTATTAATTTAATCAACTGCAAAGTCCCTCTCTCCAAATAAGTTCACATTCATAGGACACGGAGGTCAGGACATCTTTTAGAGGGGCACAATTCAACCAATAACAAGGATGACTCTGGTGTGTCCATCCCTCCCCGTATCACTTAGAAGAGCTCTGATACCTATTAGTGCTCCTCATTCTCTGTCAGTACCAGAATTTTCAAAGGTCCCTGTAGAGTTGGCCGTTTTCACCACTGTTGCTTACCCTAGATGGGTTGCCCAGAAGCATGTAGAGAGTGTCCTGCTGCCACAACTGACAATACTTGTTCAAGCTGTCCAGCAAAATCACTTTCCACTAAAGACAGGAAATCAGACAAGACTCCTGGACTGGATGGTGTCTGGTCTTGATCTGGGAAGGAGGGCAGGGTATGGGGAGATATCAAAAAGAGGTGAGACTATGCCAAGTTTAAGTAGCTAGTTTTAGTGGGTATAATAATGTAGCTATTGTGATTAGGGGGCCACAGGTAAACTGGTTTGACCAAGCAAAAAGGGAAGAAATGGGCTAAGATATGTGGACATGCTCTAATGAGTCTTGGAGAGCCACCAGCCAGGAGAATACCTGGAGGACATCATTTTTAGATTATTTTTTTCTATTGATTTGTGAGGATTGGAAGTGAAGGATATGGAGGAAAGATAAAGATGTCAGTGGTTAAGCTGAGAAGTTTTAAGCATGAAGACTGAGAATGGTCCCCTTCTCTTGCCCCTCCACCTGGAGGTCATCTATTTGTCATACCCAAGTCAATTGTCACCTCTAATAAGAAGCATGTCAAAATTACTTGCTGTTTAAATTGGGTACCATAGACCTTACCCTACATTACCACCCTAACACTCTCCATCTTACATTCTGATTCCTTCTGTTTCCCCTGGAGAGTGCTTTCATTATACTTTGTGGTCTTTATGACCAGCAATGACAAGACCATGGGAGATGCTCAATAAACACCTACTGAAATGAAACAGAAAGCCAGTTGCATCACAGCGATTCTAAAGTGAGCCAGTCAAAAATGAGACACTTTTAAACTGGAAAGGGCTTTGATGGTCACCTAACTCAGTTATCCAGTAAACACTACAAATTCTGGACAGATGATAATCTCATCTTATTCTTTCTGGGGTCAGCCATGGCTGTAAGAATTGAAGAGCTGGAGAGAAACTTAAAAGACTACCCTATCCAAAAGATGAAGAAGTAAAGTGATTAGCTTTTGGTTACTCAGCAATTAGTAGCAAGACTAGAGATAGAAATTAATATGATGGTCTAGGCTCATCAGCTTCCTGTACTATGATAAAGTACCTGAGATAATCAACTTCATAGGAGAAAAGATTCATTTCGACTCATGATTTCAGTGCATGGTCATTTGCCCCTGTTGCTCAGGGCTCGTGACACCCAGTATATTATGGTGGGAGCATGTGGTGGAAACCTAATCACCTCATGGTGGACTGAAAACAGGAAGGGACTGGGGTCCCCTTCAAGAGCCCAACCCTAATGACCTAATTTCTTCCCCCTAAGACCCACCTCTTAAAGGTTTTACCAACTCCCAATATCACTTAGGAAGGGGGCCATCCCTTCCACACTTGGGCTTTCGGGAAACATTTAGGATCCGAATGATGACATGCCCAGACTCATTTGGTCCTCAAGAGGTTAAATGGCTTGTTCAGGGTTGTACAGGGGATAGGTGGTAGAGCTGGGGTACAATTCAGATTGATCGTATTCCGTTTCCTATACACCACGCTATCCCCACGTATGACCCCCGACTTTCAGAAACACTGCAACGTGCCCTTCTTACTTCCTGGGCAAACCTTGCCAGAGGATCTGCTGTGAAACCCTCCCTCCTTCTCACCCATGTCCCTTGCTTTCCAGGAGAGAAATACGAGCTCCATGCGGGAACAGAGTCCACCCCAAGTGTGGTTGTGCACGTGTGCGACAGCGACATAGAGGGAGAGGAGGATCCAAAGACTTCCCCAAAGCCAAAAATCATCCAAACCCGGCGTCCCGGCCCACCACCCTCTGTGTCCAACTGAGCTTACTGCTCCACCTTGAGGATAAAATCCGTCTCTTCTTTATCATGCTTTTTCCCCCTCCCTGTTGTTTGTCAGAGAGAAAAAAAAAATTAATTGCCTTTAAATCCCTGGGTGTTTGGTTGTTTGAGATTCCTTCCTTGTAATCAAGCCTCTCGGACAAAAGGGCTAGGAAAAGGTGATATGTGTCTCCTGATCATATCATACCCATTAAGTATAATTCATTATTTAGAAGGTTCTAGAAAAAGTAGTATTTTCTTATTAAACAATCAGCACAGCCTATATCTCTGTTCTCTCATGTTGATCCAAGCCAGACACATCGATAACAAGCAGTACCTGTGTTGTTTGTGAGCCTCTTCAGTCCCAGTCCTGATGTGCGTGTTGTTTTTTTCCTGGCCACTCAAATAGGACCATAAGTAAACTTGACTTTGACTGCATGAGATATCCCTATCTGGTCTCTCTCAGTCCTCTGCATCCCGACATTCCCAGGACATGCATGATCACCAGCATTTGTTTTCATGATTTGAGGATATACTCTAACTCACAGGTTATCAGCATCCAGCCATGTCCTACTTAGAATAGGAAAAAAATAATCCGTATCATCCAGCTTGACAAGTCTGGGTATAGTCACTATTTTGAGTCAATATTTCATAGCTCTGTTAAAATTCCTGGAGGCAAAATTGAGCTTGGCCCCAAAGATATTCCTCAATAGAGTTTGAACATCATTTCCATGTAGAACTTCCCAGTCTCATTGGGGAGGCTTGTCCAGGGTGATAGAGACCGATTTCAGACGAACTATTTATTATCAAAGTCTCTCATGGTGTCTGAACTGATTGTTTTTTCTCTTTGTATATTTGTACAAATGTTTCAGCTGTGCTTTTAAAATCTGGATGTTTTTTATTTAGTGGTTGTTCAGCCATTAGCTGCTTAAAAACATGATATGTGCATTGCTTATGAATGCATTCATATACTATTGCAGATAATCTGATAATATCACACTATTATGGATAATACTGAATTTTAAGAGGGCACGACAACATCATATGCCAATACATGAATGATTAGCCAACATCTTTGCTATCCAGCCCACTTGTTTTTAAATAATGATGCAAGTGTCAGTTGTAGACGATTTAAAGTTAGCTAAATCTCCAGAATGTAGCAACAGCTGAGCATATTCAAACAGGGAAAGGGTGAGAGATAAATGTATGCCAATCCTGCTCACGCAATGCCCATATGCTCAAAAAAGTTTTGTTTTCATTACATGTGATTTTTCTATTTCTCCAGCCCAAAGTGCATTACAGAAGATACACCTAGAGAACCATTAACTTCTGCTGTATGTGCCAGGCCTCATCTACTCTTGTACATTAATAAATTACTTTAGATGCAATTACAAATTATGATGGAGTGAGGAAGTACTTTCATGACCTAAGCCTCAGAAAAAACACACAAGAACAATAATGCAGCCAACCGATTGAAGAGTTGTTGTGGTTTTTGCCTAGGGTGTATGTTAGTGTCCTCAGAAACTTAAAACAGACTGATCACTCAGAAATTAAAAGTCCGTTCTACTGTGAATATAGCAATATAGTACTGGACACAGTACAGGTGAAACTGAGGAGAGCTTTGCTTGTAAAATCCTAAGTTTCTATAGGAAAAATGAAGACTCCTTGTAAAAATAAAATCTGAGGAGTATGTTATCAGCAAATGCTTTGACTTTCCTTTGCTGTGGAGGTTTCTGGATTTTCATTGGCAAGATTATGTACTTCATGGTGGAGGAATGGCGCCCTCTAATGGAGGAATGTTGCATTTGGCTATTTAGATGACAGGACTACAGCCATCCACCTTTGGGGGCTGAATCTCAGCTGACTGCTGGTCATTGACTTTTTAAGATACCCTGATTTTTTTTTTCAGAATGCAGATTCTGGGGAAAAAAAACTAGATGAGAGAAAGTTTTGGAAAATGATTTTTTAAAAAATGTTTTAAAATAGTCGTACCAGACTTTACTATTGAGTAAAAGTTGAAATGATCATTCTGCACAGTCACAAAAATTCGGTGGCATGTATGACCTAAGTGGTGAGTCTGGGTATTGCCACATGTCCATGTTAACCTGTCTCAGATCAAGCAACTCCTTCACTAGGTTGGACTTTGGGGGGAAGATAGAGGGGTTTTTCTCAGGGGAGCAGTAGGGAATGGGAAGCGCCTGCCATGTTTGTGTGGAACCTCCTCACGCTGTGAAAGTCTCAGTTGCCTCGGCATTTCCATGACGCACATTATGCAAACCTCTTTAGCACTATTTTAAGTTTGAAAAGTTTTAAAATGAAGGGGAAGGGGAAGATTTCCACCAACTGAATCATTTGTGCACGTGTATAGCTCCAAGAGCTTAGACTTCAAATATATCTGGTGAATGACTCTTGGTCCCTGTGGTGTCATTTCTTTGTTGTCTTCCCGAGTTGAATATTCCTAATGGGTAACTATAAAGAAGGGCGACTCGGCTATGTTCTGTCCAAGAAGGTACCAACATATGGGATTAACCCTTCTAGGTTCTCTCTGAAATGCACCATGGGGGGGGCAGTTGGAAGGAAGAATTGAGCAAGGCCAAGCAGGATGAGGCAGGCTCCCATAAAGGGACAGAAGAGCTCTCAGCTTTATTGCCATGTTGCAAGCCTCTTGATTTCAAAAGCCATGTTAAGAGTGCTAGAAACCTCTTTCAACATCTCCCTACTCTGTTCTTTAATTAAGAACAGAACCTCTCTACAAGAGAAAGATTACACAGAATGCAAAAAGCAATCAGCATAATCTAAAAGATACATTAGCTTTTATTAAAATTAAGAGCCTCTGTTCATCAAATGACACCATCAGGAAAATGAAAAGGAAAACTTCAGAATGGGAGAAGACAGTTGAGACACATGGAGTGGTTAAATAACTCCTATCCAAAATGTACAAAGAACTACAATTAGAAGATGATGATTTTTTTTTTCTAAAAGTCAACATCCAAAAAAAAAATTGTACTTGGCACATAAAGGCAATTCACACACACACACACACACACACACACACACACACACACACAATGAAATACCCTAGTGACCCATGAAATATCCAAGTGACCCATAAACATTTTAAAAGACGCTTAATATCATTACTCATCAAAAGCAAATTAAAACCCCAAAAGAGATACACCACACTTTTATCAGAATGGCTAAAATTAACCATGAGGAAATACTAAGTGCTAGTAAGGATATGGAGGTAAGGGGTGTTCCAAGGCACTGCTGGTGGAAGTGTAATTGGTCCTGCCACTTTGGAACACTTTGGTGTTACCTAATAAGTCAAAATGCATGCCTGTCTGGGAGCTAGTCCACACTGGAGCCTGCACCCAGCAGGTCTGAGCAAGTATTCATAAAATACTTGTACAATAATGTCACTAGCAGAGTTGCCAGTAGCCATTAACTGGACAAATCCACAGTCATTCCACTGTATAATACTTACATAAACTGTGGGATATTTACACAAAGGAATTTATAGGGCAACAGAAAACACAAATTACTGATACAACAACACGCAGCTCAAAAGCAAGTATTTAAGGGAGGTAAGAAATGGTCAAAACTGACCTATATTAATAGGCATTATAATAGTGGTTATCTTCGGTAAAGAATTAACCCAGAGGGGACAAATGGAAGCTTCTAGGGTGCCATAGACATCCCACATATTGATCTGGACCTCCATGGATAGACATGAAATTTCTTTAAAATTTATGTAATGTGCTGTAGAAGGTTACCTCCAAATAAATCCTCAATGAGAATGGGGAGGGAGGAGCCACTCAACATCAAGGGGGTTTGAAATGTTGTCGTCTATCTTACGTCTGTGAAAGATTTCCATATTCACAAAGTCTGCATTTAAAGTCTATAAATATTTTCAATAGAAGTCACAAGATTTAAGCACAGGGTAAAGCACTGTTCATCCAAAGAACTCATATGACATCTGTCTGGTGACAACCAGCTATTGTCCCTGCCACCCAAGAAGAGAGTCCAGTATGGAAACAGGCAAGCACTTAAGTAGGCAAATAGTCCCAAATTGTGATGGTTGTGTGCAGTGAAGAAAATCAAGAGCTCACTGTTTGAGAATCAAATCAGAGGAGTGAGGTCAGCAAGGCCTCCCAGAAAAGAAGCCAGCCATAGACGGTAGAAGAGCATCCCAGATGAAGGCTATGGATGGGAAACCTTGTCATGTTGGGAGACCCTTAGGATATCCTCAGGGTTGGAGGGTGAGCGTGACCTCACATGAGGTTATAAGAGCAGGTAGGCCCCAGGCTCTGGAACTGGGGAGCCAGGCTAGGAAATTGGGAATATGTTTGCAGTATAATGAGAATGATTTTCAGCAGTGGGGTTATACAATCCCATTCATCTTGGGTATCCTAAAGCAAGAAGGCTCCCCTGCCAAAGCCAGAGTCCTGACGCGGGGTGGCGACTGGCTCCAGTGTCTGAGGGGCTCCTGCTTGTCAGGTTCTAGCTCCTGTCTTTGGCTAGACCTATGATCATTCCCGTGAGGCTTCCCTGAATGTTTTCTCATGTCTTCCTTGTTCTTAATACCTTGGCCCAGTGACCCGCCAGCATGATAGTCACGTCACCCCAATTGGAGTAGGGGCAGAGCAGAGCCACTGCCCGCACCCGGAATAGGCCCAGCGACCCGCCGGCGGGGTAGTCACATCACCCCAAATGGAGTAGGGGCAGAGCAGAGCCGCCTCCCGCACCTGGAACAGGCCCAGCAACCCACTGGCGTGGTAGACACGTCACCCCAGTTGGAGTAAGGGCAGAGCAGAGCCGCCACCCATGCCTGCAAGGTAAGCAGACCTGCGACCGACCAGCAGAACAGGCCCAGCAGCCTGTCAGCGTGGTAGACAGATCACCCCAATTGGAGGAGGAGCACAGCCACCGTCCACCCCTGCAAGGGAGACTTTTCAACTATACAAGAGCAATATAAATATATAGGGGGAAAATTCAATAACACAACCCTTTCACCAAGCAGAAAGAAATGTGAGCAGTATGAAAAGACAAGGAAAGAAAGGACCACAAGAAATACAGGTCAACTCAACTTTAGAAGAGGTAACAGCTGCAGCAGATGGAATGTCAGATAAAGAATTCAGGATATACATGCTTTAGATGATCTGGAGTCTCAAGGAAGACATTAGACAGCAAAATCAGACAATGAAAGATCACTTCAACAATGAATTACATAAACAAATCCAAGAAGCAAAAGATCAACTATACAGGGAAATAGAGGTTATAAAAAACAAACAAACAAAGGGTAACTGATGTGATACAGCAATCTGTATACGGGGTAAAGTTGGGAGTTCATAACCCGCTTGAATCAAACTGTGAAAGATGATGTATTAAGAACTGTGTAATGTTTTGAACGACCAACAATAATAAAAAAAAAAAAACAGAAATCCTAGAAATGCAGGAAGCAATAAACCAACTTAAAAACTCAATTGAGAATACTACCAGCAGAGTAGAACACTTAGAAGATAGTACATCAGACAATGAAGACAAAGTATTTCAACTTGAAAAGAACATAGACAGCTCAGCAAGACTGTTAAGAAACCATGAGCAGAACAT